CCACCAGCTGCAAGTTTCCCTCAAGACATTTACCATCCTTAAGTGCAAATATATCACCATTTCTCCAGGGTAACTTGTCCTGAAATCTGGAAAATTGTGGAATTCCCTCCTTAATAACATTGCCCGTACACCTAAAGGGGTAGCACGGTGGCTCACTGATTAGCATGGATTCAATTCCATACTGTCTGTATGGAGCTTCCCCAGGTCTGCATGGTTTTACTCCGGGTGCTTCGGTTGCTTCCCACAGTCCAAAGATGTGCAGGTTAGGTGGATTGGCCAGGCTAAATTGCCCATAGTGTGCAGGGATGTGCAGCCTAGGTGGATTAGCCATGGGAAATGCAGGGTTACAGAGTTGGATAGGGGTGGGTCAGTGTGGACCCGATGGGCTGAATGGCATGCTTCCACACTGTGGGGATTATATGATTACAGCAAATGGACTTAAACACTTCAAAAAGGCAGCTCATCACCACCTTCTTAAGGACAATTAGGAATGGGCAATAAATGTTCGGCTAGCCAGACCAGTCGACATCCCCTGAATGAATAAAAAGAAATGTGTGCTGTAATGATGTTGTCATTTTGACCATATCGTCTACGAGCCATTTTATTTTGAAGTGCACATATAAAAATGTTCTCTCTTCAGAATTCAAAACATTCACAACATCACCAGGGGGAGGTGATGGCCGAGTGGTACTATCACTAGCCTGTTAAGTCAGAGACCCAGATAACATTCTGGGGACTCAGGTTCAAATCCTGCCACAGCAGATGGCAGAATTTGAATTCAATGAATATCTGGAATTAAGAGTCTAATGATAACCATGAATCCATTGCTGATTGTCAGGGGAAAAAAAATCCATCTGGTTCATTAATGTTCTTTACCTGGTCTGGCCTACATGTGACTCCAGTCCCACAGCAATGTGGTTGACTCTTACCTGCCTTTTGGGCAATTAGGGATGGGCATTAAATGCTGTTTAGCCAGTGGCACCCTCATCCTGTGAATGAATAATGAAAAAAAAATCATCATTATCAGCAAAGGTGATAATGACTACTCAGTCTGGATTTGGATGGGCACTGACATTGTTTGGAGGATATTTTATTTGCTGCTGTGTAACTGGATACTCTTTTCTCGCTGGTGCACTCTATTTTGAGAAGAAACTGTAATTGGAAATATTGTGTGTAATAACATTGGTGAACTAACCATTATATCCCTTAACGAGGAAGGAAAATACACATATTTAATCAATAAGAGTGCAGAAAAGCATTTATCCAGCAAAAAGTAGTAAAGGGAAGAGTAAACTGGAGAATCATGCAACAGAAGACTGACATTTTCATTACCGCCAGGTGTGATTTGGTTGGAGAAAATTATAAAATGTTATAATAATATTAAAATGAGTGCAGTCAAACATTCATGCTCTAATCTGCAAGCTAGCCATCTATATTAGATGTTTCAGATTGCTAACTTGTTAGGTTGCCAGGTAGTTTTCTGACAGTAAGTCAGCACTCAAGGGACAGCTGGCATTTTATGGAATTAAACTACAGAAATAAATCATTGTCAGTGTTCACTTTTTGTTCATTTTGCTTTTTATTTTGGCTCCACTTTATTTTAGACTGTATTTAAAGAATTGTAATTACATCAACATGACAGAAACCTGTCCAGCAGAAATTAGTATTGAAGGGCTGAAATTTACCAGAATTTGGCGCAGTGTCATTTTTGCTGAGTTTCCTGGAGAGTTTAAGCTACATGAGCCCCATTGATTTGTCTCACACCATTCTCTGCAGTTTGCCTCATTAGCTATGCACCATGCCTCTGGTGCCGCACTCACACTATC